TATATATATATATATATATATATATATATATATATATATATATATATATATATATATATATATATATATATATATATATATATATATATATATATATATTATATATATAATCCATATCTTTTTCATGCTATCTCTTTGCTATCCCGTTGTAACGCTTTTTTTTACCCACGAAATCATGAAGATTGGCATATTTTGATATAAAAAAATTACATTTTCCTTTTTTAATCTTTAGTTAAATCAGATTAAATTCCTCGAAAAACATCGGGAGTAAAGGAAAATATGAACAAAGGATATAAAAGTATCAAAATTTTCAAGTGGATTAGCAATAATAATAGTTTTCATGTAAATAATCCTGCATTAAAATTCATTCATCCACGGTAAATCATCAATATCACCTATCATTCATAGAAAAAAAAGGATCATTCTTATATTTAGGTACTCCGTTTCTGTTTCACTGTAGATTTAGTTTGATTATTGTGTTCTCCTACGAACATTTTCATTTAATTTATGACAAAAATTAAAAATGATAGTTTCTGATATTTACTGATACTTTAAATAGTATGGAGATGACAAAACTTTGTGAGAGATGAGTTCTTTTTTATACAAATGATCAAAATAATGCACAATCATGTAATAATTTATATTATTACGTCACTATATCCGAATCGTTCAGATGATTTGAGTTAAGTATAGTGAGCATTTATTGCATTTTCAGCAATATTACGCCGATTTTGCTCCAAATCATTAATTATCGTATTGTTTCGTTTTTCGTAAATTTCCTACCATTTTGTTTTTTAATCAAAATTTAATTTTAGAAGCACCAAAGGCAAAATGATTTTTTTTCCTTTTGGTTGATTTCATATTTTATTACGGTATGTAAATGAAAGAATATGGAACACATGAATGAAAATCAAACACAATGTTGTTCATATTCGCGGAATAGCAACTGCTTATCGTACAACAAACGAATTGTCTTTGTACGACGACCAGGTATATTTTATTCTAGCCATTAATAAAATACCGCATTCATCATTTAACACTGATTGTTACAGGAATAGGATGGGAACATACAGAGGGGAATAAGAAAGAACATTTGAAGTGCTGGTAGTAAATAAATATTAATTCCATGAAATGCGAAAATTTTTTATATCCAAATGTTCATATTTTGCATTTGTTGTTATTTTCCAGGAGCAAATAATTTCCCGTCCGCGGATTGTTTTCGATGCGAAGATTGTCTTGCGCCAAATCGATTGGATGTTGGAAATGGGCAATGTATTGTGCGAACATTATACCTTTCAGTGGATCCAGCGCAGGTCTGTTAATAAAGTTCAAGTTTTGAGTATAATTATTGTGTTGCACAAAATATTTGCCAGATTTACTTACAAATAATTTTTTTTTTTATGATTTATGATTTTTTTTTATGATTTACGAATTCTGAGATAGATATTGGTTATAGGACTGTAATATTGTAAGTGCAAACCTGGATTTTATTACAAATCTGTATAAAGGTGCTACTGTGATGTACATTTCGGATAGTCTATTGGATTTCCAAATTCTCTTTTTTTGTTTAAGTCATTGTATTAATTTTCAGCGGTGTCGGATGAACAAATCAACAGGTGTTGATTACTTAGCATCATATGAAATAGGCGAACTAGTTGATGGTTTGGAAGGAATTGGAATTATCGAAATGGTATCACCGGAGTAAGTTTTTGCTTCCTTTTCTCAACGAAATTAGAGAAACTGTTCCACTCTCGGTAGATCACAGGTCCACATTTCAAATTGTACTCGGCTTTGGAATTCGTTGGAAAACCTTGTTTCATCGGGAAATAAACAGCTAATCTGCAAATTTCTCACGGAATCGTGCAGGAGTAGTTGTAAGGTTCTAAATATGGAAAGGCGATTTTTTTTTATTATGATAAATTTAGCAGTACTTTCAAAGTTGGCGATTTGGTAACCAGTATTGGACGGTTATGGCCATGGAGTAGATTGTTTGTTGCCGATCAAATTGATCTTGTAAGGGTAGGTGACTAATCTACTTCAGAATGTCTTTCAAATTTTTGGGATTGATTTAAAATTCTGCACTCAAAATTTTTGTTTCTCCAGCTGTTTCATTCATTTGTTCCAACATTTCTACATTTTGTGACATTCACAATTGAAAACGCTACAATTCAAGTATCCACTTCCTAATGAGCACTTTCATAGTACATGACGACGCAAGAGAAAGCACTATTGAACATTCTTTGTTTGCTTTGGTGCGAAAGAACCTAATTATATTATTTGTTCTGGCACTATAGTATATTCTTCGTCAAAAATATTCGGGATATTTCGAGGAGATATATTTAATTGCTAGATATCTAAGCAACTGCTCTGGAGGTCGAAGTAAAGAGAAAAGGAGTGCAGTAGTATGTTAATAGTCTGGGTCTTCTTCAAACTGGACATAATTTGTTGTGACTTACAATAATTAGAAAGTTTCCAGGTTACTTTACCGCCTGGTTTTTCACCATCAATTATACTGAGCTGTGTAGGTTTGTCCGGTTTAACAGCTCTTCTTGGTATTCAAAAAAAAGCTGAAATTGATCCTACTCAGCCCCAAACATTTGTCGTTTCTGGTGCTGCCGGATCATGTGGTTCATTGGCTGGACAGGTTTCTTTTTTCTTTGATTTTTTTTTTTTGTCTTGGTAAATGCTCACTGTTTGTCTTATTGACAGCTTAGCCAGGAAGAGATTAAAACAGCTGGTTGGTCGGTAGCATGATATATCTTTTAGAGGTTGATATTCGTTTATTTCCGCATAATCAAAAGTTATACCATTGGGATGGAATGCGTTGCAGTAGATATTGTTTTGGTTCATTGATCATATTGTTTCATTGAGATTTTTCCATATTGTATGATGTAACCCACTATATTTTTTCGTTTTCTTTTTCTTTTTTTTTTTTTTGCAGTTGGTGTATGAAGTACTCTTATAGATTGCACGTTTATATGGTTGTACGAAAGTGATTGGCATTTGTGGTTCGGATCAAAAATGTGCTGTTTTATTGAATGAATGGAATTTCAATGGTGCGATAAATTATAAGCGGGAATCTGTTGTTGATCGTTTGCATAAACTTGCCCCAGAAGGTGTTGATATATATTTTGATAATGTTGGAGGCTTCGTAAGTGATGCCGTGATATCATTGGTAAGTCCTAAATAGATCGGTGCTACTTTTTCTTCTTATATTAAATTTAATTCTTTTCAATAGTTTGCTTATGCTTGTTGCTGAGTTTTATTACAATTATAAATACCATCTTATAATCTTAAAGATTTCTCATAACCTTAAACGAATGATTGATTGTTGCGCTTCTTTCGAGATTCAATGTACTAATGCATCCAGGATACCTTTGTTCCCTCACAGTGATTGTACTGAATGACCGTAACTTCGGTGATATTTCAGTGTGAGAAATAAGTAGGCTCCATTTCGTTGTTTTGTAAGGAAATTACAAATACCTAGGACGCTTCTCATCATCAGCATTGTTTTATTGGCTGGTGATCGATGTGCTAAACATGCAGAATGTTTGGGAAAAAAGAAAAGCTTTCATCTTTAATCTAAGGAAACCATATTCAAACTGAACGTTATATAATTTGACATGAACTGTATATTAGGTTACGAAAACGAATATTTGGCGGTAAGAAAAAAAAATTTATTAAATTTTAAAAAGGATATTAAATTGCTTCCTTATACATCATCTACAATTTTTCTGTTATCATTTTTAATCGTTCTTAGTAATGCTCACTTCTAATATCCCAAACTAGCATAACAATAACTCGTCGTCTATATTTTTTGCTTGTTGGGGCATATAAATTTCTATGTACACTGTTGTATAGTTTTTGATCCAAAGTGCTAACTTTCTTTTATATCTTTCTTTAGTTAGACGTGTCATCATGCTCCATTCTATATTTGAGCATGTTGTCATGTTTATTTTCCGGCTACTTTGTGATGCTCACAGTGGTATGCAAATCACTGAGTGAGGGAACTGTTCTGAAAAAAGTAGTATTTGTCGAATGTTGGAGTTCGTATCATGTATGCTTATTATTAAGCAAGCATACATTTCATCTTTTTAAGATGAACAAAGGTGGTCGTGTTGTTTTGTGTGGACAGATAGCTGTGTATAACACCGACTTACCGAATCCACCACCTCTTCCAGAGAAAACGGCTCAAATTATTGCGGAAAGGAAGATTAAGAGGTATAATAATTATGAAAGGTTTAAGAAATTTCAGGTAAATGTTATTTTTGCGGATGGATCGGTTTTCATAATTTAAATGAATTTTTGCAGAGAGAAATTCATCGTATTGCAATATAAGGATGATATCGACGCATCTGTGGCACAACTTTCAACATGGTTGCAGGAGAAAAAATTAAAGGTATATGATTGTTCACTGCAAAACAAAAAAAAGGAAATAGAGGTCTTTTGCAGATAATTTTCTAGGGGTTTTGAAAGGGCTTGCAATTTTTGATAATAGTTTTTGTTTTTGCTAATAGCAATTATTTATTGGGATTAACACATGCGAGTTATCCTTTCACGATTTTATACTTTTACTCAGTATTTTTCTCAGGGTCTTACGGTTTTGATTAGTCTGAAAGTACAGCTGTCATTTATGTCTAAACCTCCTCCAGGTAGCTTCATGGTGGCTGTCATTTTTTATTTCCATTAGCGGAATAAATTTGTTGCAGAGTAGAGAAACGGTATACGAAGGTTTGGAACGAGCACCGGAAGCAGTTATAGATCTTTTGAATGGTTGCAATATTGGCAAAATGATTGTCAAAGTGGATGATTCATAACTGTTCATAGTACAGTAAAAGCCATCTCAGCTTACTTCACATTTTTTTCTCTCTTATGTTTCTTTTTCACTTCTTTATTTCTTTGCTTTTGTTTTTCATCCATGGTTTGTAACCAAATTATAATTTGCATAACCTCAATTATACGGTATTATTTGGTACAAACTTCGTTGTTATCATCTCTATAAAGTAGCTCAATGATAGTTATACTATAATTAAACTAATTGCTTAGGTGTTAAGATGTCTTTTGATCTTGTCCTTGCTAATTTATATATTTTATTCCAATTTCCGAGTATGTCAAGGAAATTTTATTTCGATCATAATATCAGTTTTATATCTTTGTTTCGAATTTATATTTTCAAGGTAGTTAAGCATTATTTATGTGCCAAGCTGTTAAATTGGATAGTGTCGAGATAGAATGAAGCGATGAAATGAATTACATACCGATTTGAGCTGATCTAATCTCAGTTGGTTTCAGTACTGTATATTCATTATTTCGTAGTTGTGGGGCGTTGTCTAGGAACCAATTTATTCAACCTCGAGTTAGTCATTATATCCTTGGTTTGCTCGGAACTTCTGGTCCACGTATATTTCTGTAAATCAGTCGTGAAGAGTAATGACGGAGCCCACCTCAAAATATGCCTCATTTCAGTTGGGTCCACTAAATTGTCAATTTTCTTTTAGTTTCTCGTTTCTTTTTTTGTTTGTGTTTACTCCAGTATTAGTAGTTGATTTGATGGTCAAGTTCCAAAAGCAAGAAGCTTCATTAAATTTTTGTGTGATAGAATCATAAAGTTATTGTTGGCTTTACATTTATACAATGTATTTCATCTCCACCAGTAATATTTTCAGTCCTATCTTCTCTTGGTTTATTGCAATATGAAGTTCTGCTTTATAAGTCATTGTTTAATGTGCATGTTATGTTTTTCTTTCTTTAGTTCCCTTAAATACTGTAAAATTGTCTGCTTATCTATTATATATTGTTGTTAATGTTACTAAGAGGTGTTACTGTAGTATCAAATAATGTTAGAGCAAACGAGAGCAAGGAACAAAATTCATGCTTCAAGTAGATAACAGTTTTGGGAAATTTATTTTCCAAGCTTGATATTAAACTAAAAATAATAATAGTCGTGTATTTCGTTTTTCAAGATCATGAAATTTTTTTCTTGCAAATCATTCTTTGCAATAAAGTTATTTTTGGTGAAATTTTAAATGTCATACTCGGATGCTTTGCCATAATAACAATGTCTTATTAGTTTCAAATGTCGCATTTTATTGTTAATCATTGCACAAATAACTATGTAGTTAGATCGATTTCCGCCCTCTGTTTAACTGTTGCTGTATTGTGATTATTTATGTTGTTTATTATAAAGTTATAAATAAATGATCAAACTTCTGCCCGCACTTACAAAGTATACATGTCATACCGTAACATGCGCAGTGCGAAATTTTTGAAATATTCCTCGCTCCTGAACTGATGCAAAGTCGTCGTCAAGATTGATAATTGGTATTTCACTTTCTTTCCCCAAATATGGAATTTATAGCGTGTCATAAATTCAGTATTTTTCTTCAGGTGGAATGCACATTTGTTGTTCGTGATATGGAAATTGTAGATGCACGACATACAGTAATCACAAACGCTGAAGTATTCCGATTGCTACAGGGTAGGCGCAAGCAACAAAATGAACTTCCAAAAGATCAACGATCGAAGGTTCTTGGAACAATTATATATGAAGTATGCTTCCTTATACTTACCTAACAACTATTCTTTTGTTAGATTAATTCCTAATTATATTCATGGTACTTGCCCGGGTCAGATACTCATTTCATACATCCATGTCAAATGAATAGCATAATAGCATTTCAGCTGATGATCCTGTTTAGCTTAGAAGGATCACTGGAATTAAGCTTTATAGTTTAAAACTATGTTATTTCTCATTAGATGATAATCAATATACGCATTCCACCACTCGTAAGACTTCGTAGTACAAATAAGAATTGATGTTTGAACAGCTATGTTAAGAAATTACCTTCACCAATTGTCCTCATCACTGACTTTTGTTGAATTTAATTTGAAATATTTTAATCCATCCTTTTAGTAAATTGATTTATAAATGTTTGAGTAGATTAATTGAAATATTGAAGTTGTCATTGCAGACAAATAAATATTTGCAAGGAACACCAGCTGTTATGCAAAAAAATGCAGACATTGAAAAATTCATTCGAGCAGTAGTTCCATTCAAGGTTTTTTTTTTTTGGTAATATCGCAATTATTTGGTATGCTTTTCACTTTATTATTTACTTACATAAAACGTGCACAACTGTAATTCCCTTCCTCAGCTTTATCGTACCCATTAATTCAACTGTTAATTTTTACATTTCTTCGATGCACTATTTTAGTATAAGCATCAAACACAGTGTACAAGGTTCAGAAGAGTATACCAGTTCCACTAATATCTTTTAAAATTTGCTCAAGTGCATCAGTTCAATACGCCTACTGAAAATTGAATCCTTTTACTGTGATAATTTTTTTTACAGTTGACAGCGGTAGAGATCTTACAACTCATAAATTTGCGTCCCAGAACTGCTGTTGAGGTAATTTTTCATCATTTAATTTAGATTAAGCCCTCGTTAATAAGCCTATTGCAACAAATGAAATGATTTGGTAACTGCCAATATCAAACCTCAATCCAGAAAAATCGTTAAAGAAAAACTAACTCCAGTTTTTATTCGCTTTTTCTTTTTGTTCTTCCAGTCTTAATTGTTTGTAACAATGAATGCTTCAGATTCAACTAATAGTGGAAGAATGTGAAGAGCGATTAGATGAAGAACAAATCGAATCTCTAGTCACTGTAAGTTCCATATTTGTACTGCTGATTTTTTAATCACTGAATGGAAAAGATAAGAAACACTCATGCATAAAACAATTTTTTTAGATAATTCAGGAAAACTTGCCGGAAGCATTATCTGATAATTCTAATGTGAACACAACCAATGAGAAGGAAAATTGATGAAGAAATCGTGAAATTTAAAATTAAATGGATATGGTTGAAATGAAAAACCAAAAGAAAAATTTGTTAAATTAATTCGCATAATGGCTCTGAACGAGAAGAGTCGGAGGGGAGAGCATGGAATTAATAGAGGGTTAAAGTAGTGAGGAATGAACTCTGTGAATTGGAGATATACTTTAGGATTGTAGATCAACAAAAGGATTTTATCAAATTTTATTGATGAAAGGACATATTCTATTAAGAAGACCTTCTCTATACGATCATTGGGTAGTTTACTCAGTGGTTGACGTTTTTGTTGTATCATTTAGGATAACTGAATTTATGACTTTGTAATATGTATGTGTCTTCCCGATCATATAAAATGAACATTTCAATAACTTCTAGCTTTTATTTGTTCTTACTACTTATGTGAATACTTGAATTAATGAATTTATGTTTTTAGTAACACATTCTTTCTATTTGCATTCACTTCTGACTATTCACATAATACCACAAGCATCCTTTGGTCGCGGCCTTCCAACTCGATTACGCGTCAAACAAATTTTGGATCGTTGCGAAGATATAATTGCGGCTAAAACATCATTGAATAGATCCTCAATTCCTTCCTGGAAAGTTTTGAGTTTAAATTTAAGCATCCAGTAATTTAGTTTTTGGAGATTTACTTAAAATGAAAAGTTCCGCTCATTTTTTTAGTGTTTGATTTTTGAAGAATGAAAAGACTTTTTTTCATCTCTTATGTTAGCTTAATTTGGATTTCAAGTAATTTAAGTTTATTTTTCTATTTTGGAAGAAATTAGTTCTTTTAAAAAAAAAAATTGCGAATTTTTCTTACATAGGTTTTAGTGGACACTTCGCAATAATAGGAGGCTTTTAGCTCCGTAGCTAAACTTTGGCCGACTTTTGTTGTAATTAAGCTTTCGAATGTTCGTGGATCTTTGTTATCCGTTCTGAAAATTACAGTATTCTTCTTTTCGATAAAACAAATCCTCTTTTAACATCGGTAAAAACGAAAGGAAAGAAGTGTTACTTAGCATTACTAATTCGTTACTTTTTAAACTGATTTCTTGGTTTGTACGGTGATTTTATCGTTGTATCTGAAAGAAATTCGAAGATAAATTGAAAACTTGACCTTGTTAAATTTGCTTAAAAATGTCATGGAAGTATGGAAAGAAACTTACCAACTTCAACATCACCAAGCTGTTTTCGGAATAGCAATTGACGGACATCACGTGGTAGACGTGCTTCGATTCCCGTTGCGCAAATAATGAACGGTGTACTATGATAGAGACGTCTTACAGTTGGAACCCACTGAATAAATGGAAAAGGAAGTTTGAAATTTGTTTAAAGACGTAAACATAATTTTTGGAAGAAGTACAATTTTGACACTTCTTGTTTCTTTTTGGAATTTACCGGTAGTTATTGTTTGTTGGCAAAATCACGAATATCGTTACCATCTGATGAATGCTTTCAAACTGTCGTAAGCTACTGATATGATAAAAAATAATGATAGCATCCAGATGACTGCAACGGATCATCGATGGGATTCGTTTAAAATCGGCAATTCGTTCAGCGCACATCAGTTCAATCTAACATTATGATACATTCGATAACTGGTCACATAATTGTCATTTGCATTTTTCATTTTATTTTCAAGTTCAAATTGAATCCGTGATAACATAAAAATGAGAAATTTTAAATTTTAGAACTATCATTCAATGTGATGAATTTCCCTGAAATGAATCAACATTCGATCAGAGATTGAATACAGAATTTTTCAAATGAATTCTGAGAAACGATATATCTTGAAATTTTTGAATTTTGAATTCAATTAACATGCATTGTTGATAAATTATTTCAGACAATGATTTATCTCCTTTAATGATTCGAGTTTTTACATGCAAATTATTAGAAATAAATGAAGAAAGATCTCTTCCATTAAATTCAAATAATTACACTCAACCTGAAATCCCTGAACAGTGACAACATTTGAATCGAGCACATCAATACGCTCAAAAATATTTCCTTTCTAAAATTTCAAACTTCAATTTATTGTTGAAAATAATCGATTAAATTTTAAAATTTGAAGTTTTATTACACGCTAACAATGTACAGTTTAAATCTAAAGCGTTCTTTTTTTTTTNTTTTTTTTTTTTTTTTTACAAAATGAAATTTCCATTGTTCGTACATATTTCTATCATTTTAGTACTTCTCCTCTTTAAATTGATA